AAAGCGTCTTTTTCGTAAAACGTGCAACTTTTGGAAGTGGGAACAAGGCAATATTTGTTACTAAATTTTTAAGGAACATTTTAAAATCATTTTCAGGTAGTTACCTGATGTGCGCTACGAAACTCACTTTCTAGGCGTTTTTCAGGGCCTCGGCTAATGTGAATCAGCGTTGTTGGTGTTGCTGCTTTCGAGCTCACTCCCAACTCCTGTCACACAATTAAAGTATTTTTTGTTGTTGGTTACATGTTTGCCATATTTTTCGTAATCTACCTAATAAATTATGATTGACTGAGGAAGTCCGATTTTGGTCAGGCAAAACATTACAGGAATACATTTGTGTTAGTGTGCTGTAGGGCTCTCGAATTGCATAGTTCTTATGTATGTGTTGTGAACTTATGGTTATTGAATTTCCGGGAACCTCTTATATTCAATTTCGCACCAGGATTGTGGAACAAGCTGTAATGCGTTCATTATGTTCGTTTTCACACAAAACTGAAGAATTTATTTAGTTACGGTACCAGATGTGCGCTACGAAACTCATTTTCTGGGCGTTTTCATGGCTTCGTCTCACGGCCCATATCCGTGGTAAGGATCTACAAGTGTTTAATAACTTACTTATACATTTTTCAACAACGTCTTAGCATAACTTAACTAATAATAACTAAACAGGGCTATGGAAAGCAACTATTTTGATTCTCATATACCTTTACGCTTCAAGACTTCTTATTTACTCCATTTTATAGCACTGATAGCAGCAGAGATCAGAGCCTGCGTTAGGTCGGATTGATGGAACATTGCCGTTTTCTTTTGTAGTACAGTATCTAAAATGAGGAGGAAAATCATATTTGGAACAGCATGAGTGTAAAAATACCACTAAATACTAACTAATACCTTGAATACATAATGCATTTTATCTGATGTACTCAATGAGCGTATATATGCTCATTGCATGTACTACAGTCCAGCAGTGTTTGCATACCATTACTAGACTATATCTACACTAAATTTTGATATATCACAGTCTGAAATGCCCCATGACAGTATGAGTATGGACTATAGACTATATTTTAAAACATCAACTGTCTGTCTACAACTTGATTTCTCACCTCTCAATCGTTTCCAATGCTACTTTCTTTCCACTCCGGCATAACTTATCATTGCTTCCCAGGTTCTTATCGACTCTATGAATTTGGATTTAGACCAACCGACATTACTAAAATTATTAGATTATTTTCTTCTCTTTCACACAACCGTGCATTACAGAAACAGCCAATAATTTCTATTTCCAAATATGCTGTGGCCTATATAGTAGTATAAGCCTGCTGAATAGTCAAGAAGAGTCATTAAATTGATCATAAACATTTCATGCAAGCCAGAAAATATCGTTGTTTGTGACATATTATTCTAGGTCTAGCCTTCCTTGGAGTTACCGCACCGTACCTATTCAACAACGTCTTATGAGCTAGTGCTCAAACTAAAATTGCTATTTATGGTAAGGATATACAAGTGTTTAATATGTTACTTGTACTTTTCAACACCTCCTTAGAATAACTGAACTAATAATAACTGAGAAAAACTATGGAAAGGCTACTCAGTACTCAACGCAAAAGCGGGCAGTAGTAGTGGTACGTCTGATATTCATCCGACCACTGGGGATCCACCTACAGCTGACTAATTTGATTGTTGCGTCATGCAGAAGTCTGCGTTCATTGGCCCATGATACCGGAAAAGCAGAGAAAATAGGACAGATGGTAACACATATTTATTGTAGTAAAAGCGTCTTTTCTGTAGAACGTGCAACTTTTGGAAGTGGGAACAAGGCAATATTTGTTACTAAATTTCTAAGGAACAAAAAATCATTTTCAGGTAGTTACCTTATGTGCGCTACGAAACTGAAAGATAAATAGCCTCGGCTCGCGGCCTATTGTGATAACAGAATACTGAATACCGGTACCGGGACCACAACTGGCGTTCAACGAAAGACCTATTTTGGTTTTCTTTGGATGTTATATATTTCATGAATTCCATGTAACTATGTACATTTCTGGTACACCTTTCAAAATCCAATGGCCTAACTCAGTTCATATGTTGACACCATGTACCTATCCCAAAATTAATGATGTTCAGGGCTGGATTTTAGACCATGAGAGACCCCTTCATATTTTTAATCTCGGAATTTTTCTCTAAACAACACCACATTTAATTTCTTAAAATTTAAAAATATGAGTGCATAAAACTTTTCATTCTCCCCATTCATGGGTGTGAATTTTTATTTAAAAGAATAAAAATTTACTTGAGGCAGTTTTGCTTTCAATTTCTTTGATCAAACAACCGCTACAGCCATACTTTAACATAGAAACTTCCAGCAGAATGCGCATAATAATAATTTCCCTTATTATGATGCAAACGACGCAATAATGGCTGTTTACAATGTGGTTGAAACCAGTTGTGTACAGAATTTTCTATTCTGAAATGCTTGATATATATATATACTTTTCGTAGGGTTTAAACTTGTCAAGTTTTCAAAAGAATTACAAACTTCGAAACCGAATTTCGAGGCTCTAGGTTTCAGCCTGCCTGGCCTATTGGTAAATCCAGCCCTGGTGATGGTCCCTACAGCAAATTTCTGGCCCTAATCACTCAGCAGATTGAAATAAATGGTTTTCAGCATTTATTAGCAAAGTTGGTATTTTAATTAAACATATAGTTCAACTTAAAGCCTGTATAATGATATTATAAATATATGTCCCATTATTACTGCAATGTGAGAAGGCTTTCCACACTATCAAGTCTATGAGGTTTTAGCGTCTTCCAATGTCTCAGATGGAAACTTCAGTCTTCATTTCGCATATTCTTTTCATTAATGCCGTTAGCATTTGAAGCTTGACTGATTCCAATGTACCTTTTCCATTGTTGTGTAATGTAATATCCTAAACGCGACTTCAAATTTTATTCTCACTTCAATCATCACATGTTTGAATACGCGAGCTGTCTTCTACTGATTTGTTATTAATTTACAATTTTTTTATCATAAATTAATGTCGTACTTGCTAAGTGTCCACTATGTGAAAATCTACAAAAAAAAGCAGTGGTTTAATAATGGGCTACATTTTTAACCGAATCCGAAAATGTTCCGTAACTTAGTCAACCCTTCCTTCAAGGAGTTTTTGTTAAATTGTTCAAACATCTTAAGTAACTGTTAATCTTGATAGCGAACATGGGGGGCAGGGGGAGCTGACTGTGATGGTCGTATCGCTCCCCAGTCTATACCGAATAACTGTGTGTTTTGTATACAAATTTTATTGATACAATGCTTGTATTCTGGTTGACAAAATAAATCTCTCACTCGTATTCAGTCATGTTTTTTAACCTAGTTAGGAGACCGGTATTGTACCAATATAGGTTGGAGATATTCATCTTTTTTGTATACCGGTACCGTACAACTTATCCTGCCTATTGGCAGGATGGCCAACATTTTTGTTCGTAGGCCTATTTCAGTATTTACTAAATAATTTAGTTTTCACCTCTTGCAGCCTTGGTACGGTACCAGTAGTTTAAATAACACGTCAGCATGCCTTCAGTATATGATTGCTAGCTGTACAGGTATATTTGCGTAAAACCAGTAAAAAACGTGATAGAAATGGTATGGGTTATAGATTGTCAATGTTAAACGCTTCCAGTACCGGTACCGTACCCAAAGCGACATTAGCGCTGCATTTGGAGCGCATATCCCACAGAGTACGGCGCGTAAAACCAAAAGTTGCATTGCAAAACCATTAATGCACATTTTATAGCGTTTATGTTAGTTCCGCTCAAATCGATAGCACCGGCAAAATTACGAAGGCTGTCAGAATGATGTCGAGAGCAAAACCTCTCAGGGGCGCACAGAAACGCAAAAGGCAGAAGAGGAAGCACGTATGAAAAAATAACCAAGTAATCAAGATAAACGGAAATTTAGGTTACCATTGCCTTTTAATAGCGACATGTTGTGCTTTTTAACGAAATAAAAAAAGCGTTGTTTTAGCTTATGTCCGAGAGTTTTTAAGGTCATTTCCACGGAATATTTTTCCGGGGGGGGGGGGGGGGGGTTGCTTCGAGAGTCTTGCTACGCCACTGAGCCAATGGGCAGGTGTCCGCTTGTGTTAGCACCAGTGGTGAAACTCAAATTTTTTTACAGTCGGTTCCATCACAAAAGTCCTATTTTTCAGCCGGTTCTGTTACAGAAAGTCATGATTTTTTGGCACATAAACCGGTAATGCTAACCGATTCGCTGATCACATAAAATTCCGTGAGACGGTTCTATAGAACCGGCTGAATCCCACCACTGGTTAGCACCCCACAACTGGTATAGTGTTGAATTGAATGTACTCATATAAGTGATAGTTGCTTAGTGGTTTTATTTAATGATAGGTTCAACAAATTACGATGGAATATAAACGACCAAGTTGAAACAGGACAATGCATCATAGCCACATATAACATATTGACACCTCATGCGAAAGTTGCACGTTGTCATGAAACCTTATAAACTATTTTCGGTACTGCCGAAGTATGTGAACCAAAATGCCGGACACCAGGATGTAGTATGTGTACCAGGTTAGGGTTAGGCAATCTTTTGATTCCAATTTCCCTTATTTTAGTTCTATCACGAGTTCGGAGACTAGCTAACTGACTGTAGTATTTGTACCTGAAGTTATGGCCTAACCCTAACGTGGTATACATACTACGTTCCAGTATACGCCATCTTGGTTCACATACTTTGGGAGTACCATATTTTCAAATGTTTCAACAAAACTATTTAAAAAAAAAACTAAGTCTAAAAATTCTAAGTCTGTTAAAATTACCTATTTACAAGTAACAAAGCTATTATTGATAACTATTGATTAATCGCCAAACAATTATCGAAAATGAAATAGAAATTGAGTGTATATATATGATAAATGCTTCAAAATTAAATTTTATACAAGTTTGAACAAGCATCTTCGTTTTTCTTCATTTTAAATTCTCATTCTTGTAGAGTTTCTTCATCTGAAGAGAGAAAAAATTCATTATATCAGTGGTGGGCAAGGTTTTTTTTCCCAACCATACTGGCGGGCCATGTAAGTATGAAGTAAAAAGTTATATTTTATGAACAATATTTATACTGTTACAAAAGTAAAAGTGAAACACAATGAGTCTCGTGCCAGAAATAAATTTAATCACATTCCCCACAAATTCCTCTGTTTTTTAGCTAAAATATCAATTTTTTTTTGGTTTCAGTTTGATTGTGGCAGCATCAAGCGGGCCAGATTGAATTACCTAGCGGGCAGGATTTATCCCGCGGGCCTTGGTTAGCCCATGTCAGCATTATATAAATATAGCATAACTCCTTACATATCGTAAGATTTTACTATCAATGGCTGCCTGCGAAGGCACGGTAATGCGTCGTATAGAAAAGGCATGATTTTCAGTTCGGAGCAAATTTTATCGTATAAAAAAGGCCTCTAAAGTCAGCTATATAACCAGTATGGTAATTCGACTACTCTCGATAACTAGATCTACATGTGAAACACAATAATTTGAGACATATTTCTAACGTGAGAAAGAATGATTTATCATAATTCCCAGTGAAAAAGTCGATTACCGTTACTTGCTTCACAGACGTATCCATGCTGTGGCAATGACGCACCGGAAAAGGGGCAGGGCCTCGTTCGGGGCGAATGGCGTCGTATAAAAAGTGTGAAATCTCTGCTAATTACCCGCTAATTTGACCTTTTTCGGAAACAATGTCTACATGTGAAACTCGATAATTCAGAAGCTTTGTTTTAGCATAAAAGAGTGGGAAAGTAAGGTATGATTTTTTATAATTCCAACAGGAAAAGTCGATGGACGTTACCTGATTCACAGACGAATCCATGTTGTTCACCGTTGCATTCATGTGTTTGCCATCGGTTGTAACTCATCACAGCACATCCGTGCTCAGATGATTCGTCTTTGATCCAGTATTTCGTGCCGTTTTCTCTGAATATTAATAATATTACAGACAAATTAACTATATTAGGTTAATATAGTTGATTGTTCAACTAAACGACCCACACGAAGTTTTTGGTTTTCAGGCAGGGAATACCACCTTGTATTCGTTATAAATTTACAAATATTATTGAGTTATTTATTTAGCATTATTACAAAACATATTCAAGGGAAAAATAATAAACTATTCAATCTGTTTTATTCCAGGGGAGAGGGAAGCAGACGTGGCGGGTTTAAAATTCAAACATATCTAGGCGGCCTCTCGTACGATTACCAGTCCATGTCGGGTATGGGATTATTCAATCAGTTATTTCAGATGCATGGAATTCATGGTGAAGGAAGCTGTAAACGGCCAGTGGACCACTATACAGCGGTGAGGAGCTCAGAAGTTCTGTCGCACATAAGTATCTCCCGTGAGATTTGAACCTGCGAACCCCGCAGAATAATTAGCGGTGCGTTGGCAAGCGTGTTAATGAAGCTCACTTAACAGTTTTGAGTCGTAAAATGATGATACGAATTAGTGCAAACCACAAATTAAACAAAATGTTATTTCTTCGTTTTAAATGGTTATACCCAACGTCTTACTTCGGCAATATTCTTAAAATGTCTTCATAGTGTCCGTTGTACACCCGGGCTAATCTTGCCCCTTTACTTTCACATTCCTTTTGAGCATTTGCCAAAGAAGTCGGGGTGTCCGAATAAGTCAATTTGGTTGTCGATACTGCTGATAACGATCTGGCGGTGCTTATACCTGTGAAATATACAACAAATATATTTTCAACATAATCTGTTTGTTGGTCACAAAATAGGTGACAATGAAGGCACGAGTCAGAGCATAATTGAACGCAAAATGATAATATTCTGTACATTGTCATTTTTACTCAAAATACTAACAATTTTTACAAGAGCAATGCTCAAATATATAGTAACGATTATCGCGAACTAGGTTTTGTACGATGAGCCCTAACTGAGCAACAGGTAACGGAAATTGTCGGCGAACATGCATGAGTAAATAAGAGCCATGTATTGGATAAAACAGCAAAATATTGAATGGAATATGGGGTTCTATGAGACTCAGACGGAATTTTAAAAAATGAAGGTAATAGCACTCGAGTGGCTTCAACCTTCCTGAAGTACTAAAATTTGATATCGAATCGTATAGGAGTGGGGAAAAAAGTATACTTAACAACAAGAATAAAATGTAGCAAAACGTTCCACAGACCGACTTCGTGTACAAGAATATGACGTTTAGAAAATATTTACTTCTTTGACAGACGTAACCATAGTCTCCACTACAGGAATAGTCATGCCACATTCCAGCTACGTCCTCAGACGAAGATATACCCGATGCTGCGCAGTTTTCATCAGCACCAGAATTCGGCTGGTTAAAACCCCTGAGTATAAAGGAAATAACAATGTTAACGGTACACGAGGCCCGAGAAATTTTAGATCTTGTGCCTCATCAATTACTGGCGTATTCAAAAATGCCACAATGAATATTTTTTTAACTGGCTGAAATTTTGGTACCCCCGAAGTATGTGAACCAAGATGGCGGACACCGGAACGATCTATATTTACCAGATTAGGGTTAGGCCATAATTTCAGGTACAAATACTACGGGAGTCACTTCGCTAGTCCCCGAACTTGTAATATAACTAAAATAGGGAAAATTGGAATAAAATTATTGCCTAACTCTAACCTGGCACACATACTACGTTCCGGTGTCCGCCATCTTGGTTCACATACTTCGGCAGTACCGAAATTTTAGCTATTTATTCACTTTATTTAGATAAGTCTCTTCATTTTTTTTTATATAAAGTAGTTTTTCTGAAGCTCACTCGTTTGAAATATTATACTGTAGCAATTTGTATATCTTTTTAATCGTTGTTCACAGACGTGGAACCTTGAAAGAAGTTTTACACCGAATATTGGTGGCTCTTAACTAAACTGTCCTAATTATTTTAATAATCTGCGCTGAATGGAATAGAGGGGGAATCCGAAAGAAGGATATAAGCGACCGAAACAAAATAATATTAATGGCAAGGCAGTACTCAATAAAGCATCAATTGCGTAATGTGAAAGATATATATTTTCTTACATACACAAAAACCGTTGGTGGGATTCAAAATTGTAAGTATCGAACTCACTAATGACAGGTTTCCTCAACTGAAAACATAGGATAATATGATAATATCCAGGGGGAGAAAAAAAACGATAAGATAGTTTAATCATATGGAAAACCCCGGCCTTTCGTCTGGCTACCAGTCCATATCAGGTAATGGATAAATTAGCCAGTTATTTGTTTTCGGGAGCATGGACCTAATGGTGGAGGAAGCCGTAACCGACCAGCGATTACGTGGACCACCCTAAAGCGGCGAGGAGTCTAGCAATTCTTTCGCATATAACATTTATGTCATTACGTAAGCTGCATAAACATGACATGCTTTACATAAATCTAATACGCAACTTTTTAAAGTCAGATATACCGTTAGCTGTGGACTGTGGTGTACTTAAAACTGCTGTTGATATTCAAAGTCTAAAACAAAAACGGGTTGACTGATAACCGCGGAATTCTAGAAACCGGTTAGCACGAACCTCTGCGAAACTGGTGAATCCCACTACTGAATAAAACCCCTTCGTAAAACTCTTATCCATGACTTACCAATTTGTATAACCGTATCTGAAAGATGTTCCGTCCACCCAATACCAAAGTCCTTCCGATCGCATATCAGTGGCGCCAATCCAAACTAGGGGATGACCCCTAAAAATAATATTCAGCGATAATTAATCGATGTTTCTATTTGACGTTAGAGCAACGTTTCTTAACCGATTGGGAATTTCTTCCCAGGGACGAATTAGATGAAATATAGAAATGTTAGCTAATATTCTTCGTAGTTTCACTAATAATGTTTAGTAATTTAGTATTATTACAAAAGGACCTCCTAAAGTATGCGCACCAATATGGCGCACAACCTGAACTCAAGTTGTGTACCAGGTTGGGGTCAGGTTGTGCGACATCTTGGTGTGCATACTTCAGGAGTACCTTACAAAACATATTCATGAACACATTATAAACTGTCCCAAACTATGCAAAAGTCGAAGTGGAAATTGTAAAAAACAGAGTGTTTATGTAAAGCGAGGGAGGAAAAAAGGAATGAGATATATCAAATAAATTAAAGAATGAAGCCGCATATTAGTAGCGCCAATCCAAACTTGGGGATAATCCCTGAAAATATACTGGCCTTGGTTGAAGTAATAGTAATCGTTGTTCTAGAATTAGATTAACCTGAAATATTGTGTACAAGATGAAAAGAAAAACGTATTACCAATACTCAAGCATCCAATTCATTTGTGTCTGTGTATCTTCCTCGTTGACCTTAACAAGCCTTGATCCTGCGCCAAGTTCCGAACAAGCTACAAGTGCTTCACAAAATGATACAGAATCAACTCCATCATTGTAGTAAGTTAGCTGGTATTTATCCGTGTAGATTGAATCAATTTTACCTGAAATATGAGAATTTGACTCGAAATCAGGTGTTTGATGAATGACGTCCGTAAGCTAAAGCGTAACTGTCGGTTCGTTGACGATAGCTTGCATCGAACATGTTGTTCGAGTCTAAAAGTCAAACTCGAGACGAATCAATTTCTCGAATCTCATCTTAACATTGAATGAATTGATAGCAAAACCGAATACCAAGACTATATTATTGCAATATTTTTATCTATTATCGCTGTGTAGTCTTGTCACAAACAAAAATTTTGGAAGCTCTTGAAGTATTTTCACCAAAATGGCGCACAACCTGATCATAGTATGTGTACCACGTTAGGGTTCAGGTTGTGCGCCATTTTGGTGCACATATTACAGGGGCGCAAAATTTTATCACAAAATTGCATAGAAAACGAATTCAAATGTTACTTGAATAACTATATAGACCAGTGGTTCTCAAACGCACCCAATACAAGAGCGTTAAAAATATTTTTAAGAGGGCGTAAAGCTAATTTAAAATGTTATTTGAAGCTTATTGTTAGCTATTTATTTTTGAGGTGGGCGCAAGATTTTAAAACGGGAGCGCGGCTTAAAAAGTTTGAGAATCACTGATAGACTATTAATTTACACTTACGAGTTTCTCCAATTGACACCAATAATGTCACGAAAATCAATACAGGTATGCCAGTCATATTTTGGCTGGTATTAAGTGTTTATACTGGAAAAGCAAAAAAAAAACACCATCTAAACAAAATGTTTACTTTAAAAGGCATAAAGTACATATTATCGATCACAAAATTAAGTTTTATTGGCGCCGCATGAACAAAAAGTTTGGGAACCTCCGGCGCAAAAGATTAGTTCTGGCAACATGAAAATCAATATTTGATTTAGCCATTTGTTGGAAGGTTCTGAAAACATAAAACGAGCGAATGATTCTTTTTACTTTTTATTCGATAGCTGTCATTTACTTGGGTCGCATCGGCAGGATCCTCGTTGCCGTCGGTTTGGGGGTTCACGTAACCGCTGGATGGTTACGGCTTCCTACACCACCAGGTCCGAATCAAATAACTAGCTAACTACTCCAATAGCCCGACATGAACTGGTAACCTAACGAGAGTCCGTGAGTTGTCATATGATTATATCATATAATCGCCCCCCAAATCCCCCCGGAATAAATATGAATATACTATCATATCCTAATACTGCAATTACTCGTGCTTCAAACAACAACTTGCAACGACTTCGAAAAAGGTTTAAGCCAGGTTTGTGATGTATATAAAAGTACCATTCTCATGTCGCTTTCATACTTCGTGTAGTCTTTTCCGGTGTTAACATCAAGGCTTATATACTCTTGATGGACAATTTATTTAAAAAAAAAATCCACATTACACACGAATTGAAATGTTTTTATTGACACAAAAATAGTAATAATAAAAGCTTTTTCGATTGATGTATAAAATTTCCCATTTGGAGTAAACATTCCAAGATAGATAAAACTTATAAGCAAACATTTACAGATCTATAAAATTAGTGTATGATCATTTGATGTTTTACACCCGAGTATAGTTTTAGTATCTGTAGGTTGATCTCACTTTGATGTTAACTACTAACGATAAAGTTTGGGAATTTTTGAGAATTTTGGACGCACGAAAAATATACATTTGGGTAGAATGCGGTTTGTAAATATTATGAATTCTATGAATATTTTTGAACACTCCCACCGCTAGATATGCGATAAAAAAAATAACAGCGTTATATTTAAATTTGTTCAGGTGGATATTTGTGAATTTTACATAACAAAAGAATAAATATTTGACGAAGAAGGTGGTTCGCAAATATCGTAAATTCTAAAGCACCTGTAATGCAAATTATTAGTGTGAATGGTACCTGCTTGGGCGTTTCAGTTGTTTCGTTTAAAAGTACTCGGAGTTATTGATCAGAATAACCATCTGAACAAACGTAGGGTCACTGGAATGACCCAATATTAAACAAGAGATAGTTTGGCATTTCACAAATGACGATCAATCCCATTTGCAATACGAACAACTTTATGCTTCAAGGGAGATAATTAGTTGGTCAGCCCGATAAGGTTTTTCAGTTGTGTTTCATTCTTTATGTATTATTAACGAATTTTTCTCAATTCTTTCGAAGCAGTGTATACTATGTCGTTGAAAAAGGATAAAATAGTGTCTCTTTGATATTTTTTGAAAAATAATATAAGTTCACGATTCTATTATGCTGTAATATTAAAAAAGACGTAATTTATAAATATTATAAATTAGGTTATTGTTACTTGAAAAATACTTATTTTTGCTTCGAATCATGGTAATTCAAAAAATCCGAGTCCAACTTACTGTAATAGTTTGCTACTTTGCAACAAAATAAACGTATTCATTTAAATTCAAATTATACTGAACTATGGAAAAATTTAATATGATGAATTATGTAAAACCTTTACAATAACATCGTCGTTCTAGCATCTATATTTTTTCCCTAAAAGGTACTTAAAATATATCTTGTTTGTTGAGGTCTTTTCGAATTGCCGATCATATAATTTTACAATTTCATCGAAATTCGTCTTCCTTCGACCATTCCCCACACTGTAAATATTTTTAATGTTAATTGTAAAAGCTTCAGGAAAGTGTGTTAGTTGAGACTATTTGTTCTAACCGGTATTGTCGCACACAACAAAATGTCAAATATCTGTGTATATATTTTTATAAAGTAAAGCCAATCCCGTTTCTAAATATAACATCTAAAGTGAATAAAAGTCAACGCCACTTTAATGGCCATAGATGACGCCAAGATGGTGACATACATACTTTCTAAATGGGTAGTCTCGTGGTGTGTGTACCAGGTTGGAAATAACCACTAACGATAGAAGTTGGGAATTTTTGAGAATTTTAGACGCACGAAAAATATATATTTGGAATAGAATGCGGTTTGTAAATATTATGAATTCCATGAATATTCTTAAACACTCCCACCGCTAGATATGCGATAAAAAAAATAACAGCGTTATATTTAAATTTGTTCAGGTGGATATTTGTGAATTTTACATAACAAAAGAATAAATATTTGACGAAGAAGGTGGTTCGCAAATATCGTAAATTCTAAAGCACATTTAATGCAAATTATTAGTGTGAATGGTACCTGTTTGGGTGTTTTAAAAGCATATAAAAGTATTCGGAGTTATTGATCAGAATAACCATCTGAACAAACGTAGGGTCACTGGAATGACCCAATATTAAACAAGAGATAGTTTGGCATTTCACAAAAGACGATCAATCCTATTTGCAATATCAACAACTTTATGCTTCAAGCGAGACAATTAGTTGGTCAGCCCGATAAGGTTTTTCAGTTGTGTTTCATTCTTTATGTATTATTAACGAAATTTTCTCAATTCTTTCGAAGCAGTGTATATTATGTCGTTGAAAAAGGATAAAATAGTGTCTCTTTGATATTTTTTGAAAAATAATATAAGTTCACGATTCTATTATGCTTTAATATTAAAAAAGACGTAATTTATAAATATTATAAATTAGGTTATTGTTACTTGAAAAATACTTATTTTTGCTTCGAATCATGGTAATTCAAAAAATCCGAGTCCAACTTACTGTAATAGTTTGCTACTTTGCAACAAAATAAACGTATTCATTTAAATTCAAATTATACTGAACTATGGAAAAATTTAATATGATGAATTATGTAAAACCTTTACAATAACATCGTCGTTCTAGCATCTATACTTTTTCCCTAAAAGGTACTTAAAATATATCTTGTTTGTTGAAGTCTTTTTGAAGTGCCGATCATATAATTTTACAATTTCATCGAAATTCGACTTCTTTCGACCATTCCCCACTCTGTAAATATTTATAATGTATATTGTAAAAGCTTCAGGAAAGTGTGTTAGTTGAGACTGTTTGATCTGACCAGTATTGTCGCACACAAAAAATGTCAAATAACTGTGTACATATTTTTATAAAGTAAAGCCAATCCCGTTTCTAAATATAACATCTAAAGTGAATAAAGGTCAACGCCACTTTAATGGTCATAGATGACGCCAAGATGGTGACATACATACCATCTAAATGAGTAGTCTCGTGGTGTGTGTACCAGGTTGGATTAAGACCATAATTTTATTCCGATGTTCCTTATTTTAGTTCTATTTCGAGTTCGGGGACGGTCTGTGTTAGCCAAGTGAATATACCCCCTGCCCATGGGCTCCAGTCTCTTTACACAACTTTATGTAAAATAGCCGAACAAAATTAGTTATTCTATTCAATTCGAAAGTCTTGCTGCACACGAACACAAATATATTTCTCTAACGTTTCGTCTGACCGAGGTCAGACTTCTTCAGACAAGCATTTTACAACTATAACAAGAAACGTAATTGCATGCACATAAATATTGGTTTCAAATGTTGGGTCTGTTTGCGATAGATATATATCTCTCTAGTGGTAAACAATGTATTTCTAGTGCTATTTCTGTGAATGCATTCCCATACAAATGAATTTGGCGCTCCAGAAGTTTGTGCACCAAGATGGCACACAACCTGAACCCTAACCTGGTACACATACCATGTTCAGGTTGAAGGCCATCTTGGTGCACATACTTCGGAGCTCCATGAATTTTAATCCTTTTAATCACCTTTAACTGCACGTATGTACAGTATTCACGCTAAATATATATGCAACAATATTTGCCTCTGACTGAAGGTATTTTCATTATTGAAAACAACTATTCAAAAAAATCAATAGATTCAGAATCAGATATTTATTCAGTCATGAAAGAATCAATAGAAAGCAGAAAAAATACATAGTAAACTAAAAAACAGGAAACATTGATTCACTGAAATTGATGCGAGGTCGTGAAAGACTCAGGGAGTCATCCAGTCAGCGAGACCTTGTTGCTGTATTAAAGTAGCAAATATAGCAACGGAGCAATAAGATAAAAAATTATATTTAAAATACACAAATCATAGAAAAATGACAATAGATTCGAAATAAACTAGACTACAAGAACAGTCATTACGATTCATTGGGAAGTAGATAGCTTATTAACGACACCTGGTGATTGAGATACGCATCAATGAATTCAAAAAAAACAAATCAATGCTGAGTCGCATGATGACCGAGAACTAAAATAACTGAAGTAGCGTCCCAATCAACGGGGTTGTTATTTGATAGCTACTTTTTGTGAAAAGTCGACGACGGAAGATTACCGAAGGTTACCCATAATTGATTAAACAAATCACTTAAAACTTACAGCATGTTCAAAATATTTACAACAACAATTTACTAATATAAAAATGGAAATTTCATATAAACAGAAAATATGCAATATATATATCACATATAAAAACTCGCTTTTGATCCGCTTGAAACAAGCTTTTGATCCTTGAATTGATCATGAAAGTTTTTGTGTTTTTTCAAATGTTCTTGGAATATAAAATGTAGTTTGAGCAATTCGTGTAAATGTATATTCGAACACAAAACATTCTCATCTTAATATTTTTTTGCTTATTCAATTACGAATTTTGATATTTTATGAAGTCTTGTAGTAATTATGTTTTCTGTCTTTCCAGAGCAATTGTTATACCCACACGCAACTCATATGTTTCTTGGGAAAAATTACTTTACTGGACGTTTACATCATCGATCCGATAACACGCAATATTCGGTGAGATACCGAATTTGGAATGTTCGTTGGTTTAGGTGGCTGTGATTGAGAGATTGATTATTCTGTCGTTAAAGCGAAATTTCTATCCATGATGCCAACAAAACGTACAAACCACTAGAACACTAGATAGTGTCAAATGAACTAAGCTTATTCTGTGGATTGTCTCACCAACAAAAATGCACTAACCCATGAATAATTACCATTAGTGAATGGATATATATATTTTTTAACAATCCATTTAATTTTCTGTTTGATTTCTATATACTGATCAAACACTGAAAAGAAAACTACAAATAATCGAGTCAATATATCACAAGAACGAGGCATCTATGAATTTTGCTGCTGTTCAAAATTTTCCAATTGATAAACCTGCCAATTGAAGACGTGAGTCATACCACGAATGGCAAGTCACTAACCCATGGGTCACAAAGTGACCCACCAATTTTTTTTCGGTACTTTCTAAGACACAAACGAGAATATCGGTCGGAGACCGAAGACTTATCGATCGGAGGTTAGGGAATCCCCCAAAACAGCCCTATTACTCCATAGTGACACCGTGTGTCCCATCACTAATTAATTAATAGCTCGCTAATTATACTACATAATTCATCGAAAATCAATAGGCTTCTGTTCCGAACTATGATGAATGCACATGCTAAATTTGGACAACAACAATAACAAACAAACAAAAAAACAGACAAATACTTATCAACATACTTACCGATCTTAAGATCGATAAGTAATTAATGCAAAAACATACAAATCATAGCAGTGATAAAAATTGACGATAGAACAGCCACAATTTAATTTAACAAAAAGTTTTTATAGTATGTAGTACAGCAGGGATGGTGAACATTTTTGACACGTTTATCAATAAAGGTTCACAATCACTGTGTATACGATTTTTAATAGTATAAGAATAATACGAACAAGTAATAATAAGTGGAAATTTCATTTATTTTGAAAAATACGGGTGGGGTCTTCCATTTTGCCTACCTTTAAGAACAGGCATTTCATTGGTGAATAAAAAGATTGAATAAATACGATGGGAATGAAATTATTATTAATGTGAGCTTTTGATTTTTGATGCTTAGAAAGTCACTATTATGAAAATATGAGGATTATCATAAAAAGAAGAATTTAAGTTTAGGTTATGCACGTGACAAAATCGAATCTTTGCCAGGAAAATATGGACTGCCAATAAATCGAATATATAAAATACATGCAAGAATAAAAGCATAGGACAATGACAAGCAAATAACAATTTCGATTTAAACTTTTATCAGAGTAAGTTTATCTACTCAAATTTAAGAATTTTATCTTATTCAACTGGTTTTGTTTTTAATATAAATCAATCCAACGATGAGGTGCTGCCTAGGTTTGAGCTGGTTTTATATTTCACAGATGACACCGAACCTTAAGAAAGATGGTGGTTCATTAAAAATTCCCTGATTTGACTCGTCTGCAACTTTGTCGACATGAATACCAACATTTGTTAGAGTAGGATTACCAACCCGGTTGGAGTGCGGAAAACCAGGATACCACATTTCTGTTGGTCCTTCGAATGGCAGCGAAAGCGATACATTCTGTAATGATCAATTAAACAGTTTTTAAATTCTCTCACTCGAAATGCAATTAATACTCCGGGTACTTGAAAAGATTACAGGGGGTCCCCGAGTAAACTGAGAATTGTACAGACTGTGCAATTATTGATATTCGTGTTTTGATGCCAGACGCCCGCTTGATTGGGTTATAAGGAGATTTAATCGTCCCATATTGAAATTGATCAATTCCGGTCATTGTAACTTTTTTCATTTAAGCACGCAACTTATAGTCTGTATCGAACTTTGTATCGACGTCATCTAAGCACGCAACCCATAGTCTGTATCGAACTTTGTATCGACGTCATCTAAGCACGCAACTTATAGTCTGTATCGAACTTCTGATTAAGCTGTACAGTGTTTTTATTGAATTCTTTTCGGGACAGGAAAGTGTGGGATATAATTTATGCAACAGCAAGCTAACACCGAGACGGGTGATTTACTGGTATATTTACTTAAGAACACCAGGGTTCGTGACGATCGACAATATTAAAAGTTGCCAATTTTCTAAAAATGTACAAAGCATCGTTAATATGACGTTACTTATTGACTTTACCTAAATACGATGAACAAACGGGTCTTCTACCTTCTCCGAGTCAATATTCGTCTGAGTTCACAAATTGATTCGAAATTTGATGAATACTGGGATTGAGATTTTAAACCCATTAACTAACCTTATACTCCACCCCTGTCCATACTGCTGTCGTCACTTCACCGGTAGGTATCATTGAGCGTAGATAAATCAACAACAGCTGATAGTGTGTGAGATCGTAAATATTCGATGGTTTACTGTTGTCCATTGATTTGCAAATTGATTCAGCGTCGCTGAAGGTGATGTTTTTTGTAGCATAGGTCACTGCAACGTAGCATTTCGATTTGTATTCAACACCACAATTGCCTAGGGATAATATATTGTGGTTAAAAATATATATAGTCGAAACAACGATCGCGCATTTAACAATTGACTGAATCGAATCTGCAATCATGTTTATGAAATTAGATCTTACGCAGAAAATATTTTCTTATTTGTTTACCCCAGTGCCACGAAGTAATCATATGCGAATGGTGGAGCAGAATTCGTTTCATCTTTGAAAATAGTTAGCGAGCCATATACACGATGGGTACCGGATAAGTAAAGACTAATCACTCAGCGCGATTTATCAACCCAGTTCTAGGAATCTTTTGCAAATCAAAGCTGGATGTCGAACTACATCCCATGTGATTCTGTTGTCGGATGTTATAAGCCAGATCAATCATAAAACATAATAAAAGTTACGTTGAATTAGTTTCTTCTCGCTCTTTTTGATCAATTTAACGATATCTGTAAATGTACAACGTATATTTTTATTGTAGGTTACTTTAAATCAGTTTTCACTTTAGTAGGATATCTAGCACTATCTTAAATAATCGATGCAACGATTAGTTATCACGCCATGAAAAATTTTCGAATTATTGTTTACTCATGTCTCTGAAGTTATTTATCGGGTTACGGTTACAGAAATAAATATATTTTGCTTTCATAATGTACATCATAGAGAAGGGAACTCACCGGATCCGTCGTTTTTCTATGAAATGAAAATAATAAAATACAGATGGTTAGCAAAGCGATCATGAAACGATTATTGTTTTGGATTGGACTTTTGACTAGTGTGTGAAATGCCATGTAAGCAGGCCAAGCCATCCCAGTTCATCTGAATGTGAAAAGAGACACCAAATTATAAATGTATAGTCAGGATGACTTTGACCATTTAAAAATACAAGCTTATTACATATCAGTGGTCGTTTTATTTAAGCTTCAGTGATGTTAAGGTATGAGACACATCATTGAAGTGTTGTTGACATCGATTTTGGAGTGAAATATCGGTAGGAAATTGTAAATTTACGGGTGCCGTGACCCGGCACAATACACTAGCTTTTGCGTATTAGTGGCTGCTTTTCTGAAGATTTAAGTGAAATGAAGGTGCAAAACACCTGATAGAACAACAATTTTAATGTTACCTCGCAATCTCCAAAGCGGACAAGTTTACCGTCCTTAATCTTGGATATGCAGACTCCTCCTGTAAAATAGAAACAGTGTTATTTGAGTTTCCATTCAATAAAACAGGACACCTTGTCCTATATAGGGTGTCCATAAGGTTTTGAAAAAAATTTAAAATTGCAAATGGAATTTATCGATGCCATATATTGTTTTTACCCTCACAGATGTATTAAATGAAGTAAAAATAATTGAACATTTAACTACTGATTAAAAAACAACGAACCTGGAACACCCTATAGATTCTAAAGGCGTGAAACATTTCCGGCATGATCCGAATTTTTTTATTCTAGTGGTCTGGATGCAAAACGCCAAAATGAATGTAAAGATCAATTACAAACGAGAATTTCAAAATTTTGCACGTAATTTAGTACTATGCAATTCTTACCGGTTACTTTTTCCGCAAACAAGCCGCAGATAAGAAAGATGGAAAACAATATTCTGACGAAATTCATATTCGCTTCTATGAAGATTCATAAACAAAACAAAATGCTTAGCTGAAAAGTTAATATCTGTAAAAATACGCAAAGTTATTATAAGTTAAACTTGTCGTAGTTAGATGTTTATATGTTTTGTATATAAAAGACTTTTGATTAAATTTATTCGAATAACAGTTTTGAGTATTACTCAAGTCGACGTAAAGACTCCAAAGTGAAAAAACCCACTTATGCGAAAATTAGCAAACAATATTACTTTAACGAGAATATCGGTCAGAGACCGAAGACTTATCGATCGAAAGTTAGGGGATTCCACAAAACAGCGCTCTGACTCAATAGCGACACCGCGTGTCCCATCACTAATTAATTGATAACTCGCTAATTATGCGACATAATTTATCCAAAATCAATAGGCTTCTGGTCCGACATATGATGAATGCACATGCAGAATCTGGAGCAGATTCAATCTCGCTTTCGTGAGATATCGCGTGCATCTAACAGACAAACAGACAAATACTTTTCAGCATACTTACCGATTAAAATCGATAAGTAACAAGAAAATGGCGTTGCGGTAAATAATATTCTGAAGAAGGTTATAAGACCGCGTTTCCTTATCAGGGAGGAATTTTGATTTGTATTTTCAGCTGTATTACTATTTTATTATTATTCTTTAGTTCTTTATTATTCTCACTACAAAACTTATTTACGCATACATTATAAACTACAGTACTTAAAGTGTACAAAAGCGGGAATACGACACGTACGAGGATCCATTAATAAAGCCTTGAGTGAATAAAGTATTTTTCATTCTACTGATGGCCGGACATACAGTTTCAAATAGGCTAAAGGAAGAATTTAATTCTGCAAATTGAGAAAAATAACCAAAAGAAGTCGATTCCAGTCATACGTTTCTGATTAAAAAATCTTTCTAACATGAAGAAACCTCGCACAGAAATATATTAGGGAAATATGGCTAGGACTCGTCGCACCAAAGAGCAGTAACACCATTTGCAAAGCGCCGTCTCTTATCTCACCGAGAATGGAATGAAAATAATCAGTAATGTCGTGTTTAATGTTCGAAAATTCAACTTGTTTAACCTATAACATTATATAATTTCGAACGAGTGCAATTTTCCTTATTCTTAAATTGTTTGTTCTAATCCGAACAATTCCAGTACAGTGGCACAATCTTACCACTGAAACAATTTTTCGCTAAGCATCTGGCGCGAAAGTACACTGTTAAAATATACATTATAGTTATACCAAGAACATGACAGCAGCAGCAGAACACTCGTGCTTGGAATCTGATTGAGAATAATATTATTTGATCGTATTGTAAAAATAGTTTTTGAACAATAATTCACTTCCGTGGCGAGCAATTCTGCGACTGTGGGTTCATTTGCATTTGGGTTTAGCCTGATAATCGACGTCTAAAAATTATGATGCCAGTTTCTTTGAGTTTGGCAGGGTAAACACGGGCGTATTAATTTATTTGTGGAAGCAGGAGGCATAAACGGTAATCACGTAGTGTTTGTACCTGGTCATGGTTAGGGCATAACTTTAATTAGACTTCGAGACTATATATGTATTACCAAGCCCGCTGCCCATATGTTTAACTCCCTTTACACAACAACTTGATGAAAAGTAGACGAACAAAATTTATTACCATATTGGTACACACAATTCTAGAGCGCCGGATAACCTGTCTCTACTTTTAATTTTGAATATCAATCTTTGCGAAGATCACATATTTATTTGCGAAACAAATTTTGCTGCTGCTACTGAAAACTAGTAATTTTTCAAATTATGTCATTTGCGCTTTCTTTGCCCCGGCGTAAGAACAGTGAAAACGCTACTTCTACGCCGCGGAAAACTTTGAATGATCAGTGGTGATACATTTACTATTCTAGTACGGAATTTTTGACATTTCATTTTTTTGATATTTCCGTGTGCTATATTTAAAATTTTGTTTCAAACATTCGTTTCACGTCAGTTTTACTTACCATATCTTTAAATGTAGAAAAAGTTAAACGCGTTCATCACGCTCTAACTAAACTTGCTTCACCCATCAGAAAAGTTTAGTTGAGGCTAATTTTGTTTATTTTTTTTTTAAAGTTTTGTTGCACTCCCTTGCTCTTTACTATATTGATAAATATAAAATGAATAATAAATACGAGCGCATTACTAAATAACCGAACTAAAATTGCCTGTTGTCATCTAAAGATGATTTTGGTTATTTTCTTGCTTGCATGTCTAAACATCTGCGAAAAATGTATCCAAGAAGCCACTAAAACTTCAGTTTTTACGTCGGAATTGACATCTTCTTGATCAGTCACAAATGTTACCAAACTTATATTACAATGACAATTTTTCCACAGTGGTTTAGCGAAAAATGCGAAAAATCTGATCATCACGATTGTGAAATAAAAAGAGACGATGCATTCAAACTTCGAAGTCAAGAAGCAGCTGCGGTCCAAATTTAGAACTCGAAAGGTCCGGATTCGGACCGCGGTCCGCCAGTTGAGTAGCTCTAGAGCAGGGGTTCACGAGAAGATTTCCAGGGGTACTTGGATGACAGTCGAGTTTTTGTATGTTGCTGTTTTTTTATATATATCCTTTATTACTACCATGAGAAAATGCGTGCCCATTGAAACTAGACGCCAATTGAAACGTAGATTTTCCCTGATCTTGCGTTGTTGTGATTGTGATGCAACAATGTGGAATTCAAGGCTTTACGTACACACTGTGAAATCTCTAAATACAGTGTGCTGCGAGCATTGGAGAAGTGATTATGCTTATTGAACCTTGGGAAAGATTTTAAGAATTCATTAGTTAGGAAGACGACAAGGGTAATAATATCAACAAGACGATTCAATTTAGTTACATATGGTCATTAAATTGGTGTTGCAACAAATTGTTAGTCAATATATCGGTATATCACAACTTTGTTCGGTGTCTGATTACCGGGGGTTCGCATTGATTGTTTCGTGACTCGGGGGGTACTTGACAGGGGGTAAGTCAAACGCATTTTTAATTAATGTCTACACTTGAAAATGCCGTCGCAAATTTAATGCATTGAAGTACTACTCGCTCTGTTACCTGGTATGAAACTGCTCTCGTTTTATCACTCATCGATCTCGATCGGTAAGTATGTTGCTAAGCATTTGTCTATTTGTTTGTTTGTCTGTTAAACAACTTTTGTATGTTGCGCGTCTAGCTGTATGAGGGTTAACTTGTGGGATATCGTTCAAATTCAACTCATACCTAAACGTATTTAATTCGTGATCTCGTCGGACCTTCAAATTTTCTGCTTTTTCTTGCAATCGCCCTGTACTTCCAAAATTTAGACAAATCACCGTATAAACGACATAACACCCATACTAAATAAATTATGATAATATATAAAAATGCTGTAAAGCAATTAAGTAGATATTAACTTACTAGTAATTTTAGTAAATAACCAACAAAGTGTATTTCTTGAGCGCTATAATATATATTTCCTATTTATCATTATCCAGGTGTAATTATCGACCTATCAGTTGATGTAGGAAACTCGTACAAAATAATGCCCTTTTACGCTTTAGAATCGATTCACACAAAATTTTTAATCAATCGCGAGCTCAATGCAAAATTCAGTGGTAAACATATGAATTTAACCATTAGGGTGGCAGAATTTGCAAATGGTTGTGGAAAAAGATACAAAGAGATTAAAAGCATATTTCCATAATTAGAGTTCTACCTGCCCATTCTCAACTAATACGCTTTTTTGTCCCATCCAACACACCTACACTTAACTTTTCACCAAAAATAATATATACTCATCTATAGTAGTTTTATTGAATCAAAAATACAAAACGAGGGTAACAATCAGATACAATTGCTGTGCTACGTAAACAGAACTGACTCTTCAATAGTTTTCTTTAAAAGTCTAAAAACAATTGGGAACGATTTTTGGGAATAAATCAGGCAATCGAGCAAGCTTATATAATTCTTCAAAGTTAAATTTTATCAGAAATGCCCAGAAACATTCTTTCGAGTAGTAAAAATTTAACCAAAAATATTATTATTTCAATGTTTTAATATTGAAAAGGGAAATTTCGTGTCTTGAGTAATGAACCTTGAAGGATCTTGAAAACAGTATACATTTTAGTCGGTTAACAAAAATAATAAATCTTCCAAAAAAGAGGCAGCACAGAATATGACAAAACTATACGACTGAATATCACTAATATCTATTTATGCCAGAGGTGGGCAATCCCTCGCACGCGTGCCAAACTTGCCCATTTATTGGGCACGCGAGCGAGGCCTCGGAAATGAGATCATTCTTCTTCAGATAAAAAGTTTCAAGACTCTTAATTATCTGATGAGACTATAGGTGTTCGTTTATTCATTATCGTTTGTTAACAATTTGTTATTTATTTAAACTCTTTTTGCCCTTTAATGAGATATGGCTACAAATAAATAAATTATGATGTAACAAATGATTATGCACGAGAATAGCGCAGCATTTATTTGGCTACATTCTTACGTAATAAAGTTCGTCTGTTTCACCATTTTTGCTTGATTTTTGGAGTTGTACAGCTCATGTGGGTTATAGCTACCTGCTAACTCACTGTTATAAATTGATTTCGAAAAAAAAATATAAGCGATTAGGGAAGGAAATACAAGAGAGAAGTGCAGAAAACGAACAATTGCGTGATTGGTTTACCATTTCCGAAAATTTCTCGTGTCTCAAAAATTTGCAAATGCACTAGGCTTCTATCCATGTTTTCATCTACATATGCTTGGGAATCCCTGTTCTCAGTTATGAACTTTATTCAGTTTCGTAACAAGAGTAGCCTGAAAGATGAAAGCAATAGTTCGCAATCAGCTGTAATGCAGCAGCAGAAGACTCACTGATACAGAATAAAAAAAGAAATCAAGTCTATTTGTCGGACTGATATTTTATCGGAAAGTGAATCTGTCTGTACATGTTTAAAAGGTTTATTATTGTGTATTTTTGCTTTGAAAGTAGCAAAGCATTGTTTTTAATTTTGGTCGGCACGCAGAAGAATTTTGTCCTTAAATTTAGCCGATTTTAGCACGCGAGCTGTAAAAGGTTGCCCACCCCTGATTTATGCTATGTAAATTTAGCCTATTGACTTTGGGTAATCTGGATGGTATTTCACATTATTTGCTGAATTCCCGCCAGAAAACCGAACCGCTTCTGACTTAAATGAATACAAAATTGTTTATTAAATTTTTATCGAATCGAATAAAATCTTAATCCATGTTCCGAGCAGCATTAAAATAGTAAAAAAACAGTATTTGCCAAAATAGCATAGAATTCACCAAATTGGCGTGTTTGTTTTGTATCTATGTTGTATTTAACTAAGATACTGCCGTAGTATTTGTACCCAGTCAGAGTTAGTCTATAGTTTTATTCCGATTTCCCTCATTTTAATTCTCTGGATGTTTCTCCGAGAATCGACTTCTTCATTTACTTCGTAACATTAGCCAATCAGCAAGATGCAAAAAATGACGTAAGAATGGGTCTTTTCACATTCGCTTAGAAACTTTTGTCACTCAGATTGATCTTCAGGCGGGGTCGTAAACATTACCTCGTTAGTTTTCAGTTGTGTTTCGGAAATTTAAATATAAATCATATAATTCAATGATCACTCTATCTTCTTAGGAGTTTTAATTCAATTGCAGTAATAAAAAATTAGTGTAGAAATAGCTGTGATAAGCTGGGCTAAAATTCCTTACCGGTACTTTTAAATAACAGATTGTTGTATGCGATGAATCACAATGATGGTTTGAAACACATACACCATTTTAGAAGCACCAACTCGCGAAACCACACTTAAAATAAGTAATTTAAATAATAAGTAAAATAAATAATTTTGCAATGGTGAGGTATAGGAAGAATTTTTCGAGGGTCAAAGGCCGGGGAAAGTTCCATAGGTTTTCGCCCATGCACACAACTTGATGCAAAGTAGGCGAACAAAATTAGTCACCATCAAATTGGTTCACATACTTTTGGAGCGTATTTAATGCTAGTTAATGAATAATAAATTCTGTACATACCGATGGATTTATGGTCATAGATAACCATGCGTTAACGTATGACACTGAGGAAGGCATGTTCAATCGAATGTGGTTATTCACAAGTTGGTAATGTCGAGAATTGACAATATCTGCTGGTTTTCCCGAATTTCTCGAGCATATTGTCTTGGCTTCTGCATAGTTTATATCTCTAATTGAATGTATCTTGACCCAGTAACAATATTCGGTATAAATGAATCCAGTGCAGGATTCTGTAAAAAATATGGACTTTGTTCGCGAAAACACTTATTTTAAAATGCACAAGCGACATAATGTATACCTGCTTTTACAGCGCTCCTGGTTTCGTATATTTGTACAAATAAACGTTCTTCTAATGATTTGAATTCCGCAGCCACAGCGGCTTCGACTACAAAATAAATCTCAGATAAATGGAAATTTGTAATAATTTTTTTTTTTGAAATTCCATTATATGTAATTAAACAATTTACTCACCAAAACGATTTATTGTGGCATTCACCCTCTCATAATCGACGATGGCTGCAATTCCTGGTTCGCCTTTTGCCCCTGGTTGACCACGGTCCCCTTTGTCTCCTTTTGCGCCTCCTCTTCTGCATGGAGACCCTCGGTGATGTCGTCGGGTCAGAGGGTTACCAACAGCCTCGGTTTCGTCGTTGAAAACGTCATCCTAATGACCGCTGGTGTTCCTGGGTCATTTTGAAACCCCTCTATAATTTTTTTAATATTTCACCAACCAAAAATACCAAAGACATCATTAATGTGTCCCTAAAAAGCTTATTTTTTTCGCTTTCCACTTAAACGCGCCCAAATTACGTAGCGCAAATGCGTCCGACCATATGCCGGTAAGAAGAGAGAAATTTCAAAAAATTTCGAGAAAAAGTTTCTCACTTTTAACGCTGTGGTCAACACGTGATTGATATGCGAGAGAAAGAGTTTTCCTTTGGACGGGTTTTAAGTCACCTTCAAAATAAAACAAAGTTGGGATTTGTAAGTGAAGTGATATTCGTTTTATCGGAGAGCATTTGATCGCGTGCTGTCTGGTATCTTTGTTTGTTTATTATGAGCCGGAGAACGTTGCTCGCGCGTTCAAAATACTTGGTTTTCAACTAACAACAGATTCTTTGTTTATTTTTAAGCTTTGAAATACTTATACAAATAAAATTGAACTTGTTGCAAAATAAAAATTATACATAAAAAAAATGTGATGACGTCACCGTAATTAAGAACACTCGGATCAAGCATGGATAATTTGAACTCAAACATTTTGAGTTTTGAAATTGGTTTTGTTCACATGCAGACCACTATGAAATACTATTGACCCCCCAAAATACATTTAATTTAGCCATAATTCCAAATTATGACACAGATCAGCCATTTGTAACCGGGCCGATCCTATTGGGTTTTAACCGATTTGCAAATCATGTGTTTGCTGTTGGCGTTTGCGAATTCTAACTTCATGAATATAACGCTGATGACAACCATTGCAATAGAAATCTTCATGTCGAGACTGTAGTTCGTAAAACGTAATTTGCATTCGTCCAAAAAAAAATTGTATGTTAAAAAAAAATGCCTAAAAAATTGTAATTTTATGAGAGTATAACTACTTATTTCTACGACGTTTCACAAATTGTCGTCAAAGACTCACTTGTCACGAGTTGATTATCGGGCTCGAAGTTTTAGCCAACTTTGTCACGAATCCACGAAATGCATATTTCTTCATGTCCGTCAAATATTTTGAAGAAAATGAATTTGTATTCCAATCTTCAGGATAAATATCTCTTAACCAACGTATCTTCAATTGGAAAGAACTATGAAAATTTTACAATACCCAAAGAATATATGAATAGGGAACTCCTGTAGTATGCGAACCAAGATAGCGGACACCGGAACGTAGTATGTGTACCAGGTTAGGGTTAGGTCATAATTTCAGGTACAAATACTACGGGTGTCACTTGGATAGTCCCCGAGCTCGTTATAGAACTAAAATAATGAAAATTGGAATTAACTTATTGCCTAACCTGATACACATACTACGTTCCGTTGTGTGTCATCTTGGTTCACATACTACAGGAGTACCCATAATAGTAATATTTTATTCATATCTTACCTCGTATAGACGTATCTTTGTTGAAACAACTTAGATGGTTTCTTCTTTGACCACCTTTACTGTTTGCTCTCCACACAATTTTTATTCTGATCTCTATCTTCATATTTATATATATCAACAAATTCACAGAAATATTACTTTTTTGTCATGTTTATCATTGAATAAAAAATAGGAAACGCATCCATTTAAAATAAGTTTTCCATTCTGAATGTGTGTTTTGTTTAATATTATCGAATACGTAATTTGTGTAGCTATTAACATTTACGTCACATTGCTCCAGGGCCAACAAACCTTATACTTGATAATAGTTGACGTATTGAATTTTTGTTTCCACTTTTACAAAATCGCTCGTTCTGTCATTTTTCCAAAAATATTACAATCTTTCGATTTAAACGAGAATAATGCCTTTTGTCTTTATTGAAGAATGGTTTTGATTTATTAAAACAGCTTTCCATATTGGTTTAGAACACTACCACGTTGAGGTATACGTTGTTGAATGTACTCGAAACGATGGATGCTTGATATAAAATAAGTTTGTAATCTGTGTGCAGCAAACACAAAATTCATAAGCCATCTGAAACCAATAATTTAAGAACAATCGACATCAGTCATAAATTTTTATTGCCGCATTATTACATATCAAGCATGCTTTGTTTAATGTACAGTCAACAACGTATACCTTAACGTGATGGGGTTTCAAAACCAGTTAATGCCACAATAAAACGTTTTGGTGAGTTAATTGTTTAATTATATATAATAAAATTCAACAAAAAAAATTAGAAATTGTTACAAATTCCCTTCCATCTGAAATTTATTTTTTAGTCGAAGCCGCTGTGGCTGCGGAATTGAAATCACTAGAAGAACGTTTATTTGAACAAATAAATGAAACCAGGAGCTCTGTAAAAGCATTATGGTATACATTATGTCGCTTGTCCAATATTTAAAATAAGTGTTTTCGCAAACAAATTCCTTATTTTTTCTCAGAATCCTGCACTGCATTCGATTGAACATGCCTTCCTCAGTGTCATACGTCAACGCGTAGTTATCTATGACCATAAATCCATCGGTATGTACAGAATTTATCAAATATTAACTAGCATTAAATACAACACAAATATAAAACAAATCAACAAATTTGGACAGTTCGTCCAGAACATGTTTTTCGCGCAATTTTGTGTAAAATATTTCGTTTTTCGTCGCTTTCAGATATTTGACCATTGCTCTCTGGTTCACTATTGCATTTCGTCATTGATACACCACAGTATACGGTTTGAAATGTTGTGTAAAGATACTATAAGATTTATAAAAAATCGAGTATATGTCCTCGTTGCGTACTGTGGCTTTCAAGATATAAACTTGAAAATAAGAATCATCCCCGATAGAACATGATTTATAGATCCTACAATTATATCCTTCCCATCTCTTACTTCACATTAAAGTACGTGACTCTTTGATCCGGACATCTCGGCGTATGAAAACAAAAACCACACCATGCATAAAAAAAACGTGATTGAAAAGAAACTTTCAGTCGAAAAAATAACAAAATCAGACACGAGAAACGTGATTAAGAGAAAAGTTCAGGCATAAATGATTTGCTCTAAACGACATTCGCATCAATCAGAAGAACAGGTCTTGGTGTAAGCTTCGAATTTTTCTGCTCTACAGAAATATCTTCGGGTGAGTGAAGCCGATCTACAGTTTTGTATAATAGACCTTAATTATTCAAAACATATCCTATGATAACAAATAAAATTAGCAAAAACGAAACAATTTTAACAATGGCTTTTGTGATGAACGTGATGACCCAGAACAAATTTGCAAAAATTGCAGTTTTCGGGTTATCGTTTATTTTTATTAGTAGGAACAATAATTTCAATATTTTCATTTTAATAAACATGATCAATCGTTTTGCTAATCGTTTTAGAAACTTTAATCGACGCGAAGTTTCTGACGACAATGAGGCTGATCTTGTGAGCGTTTTTTATAATCTGAATGAGCCATTCAACTGTTATTAATTTTATGTCCAAATTTTTGTCCATTTACGCGAAAGATCGAAATAGCAATTTCAAATAACTATTTTTGCATTTGCAAGTTAAATAAAACAGACACATGGCTGCCTCTGGTTGATTTATTATATTCATATTTCTAGAGGAAAGTTAATCTAATTTTTTTCAGGTAAAAATATTGCTCAGAAATAACTCAACAATGACAGGGACAATCTACGCTCACATTATGATGGCACTGATAATATTTGCATTTTTCTTCTTCGTGCAAGCCAATGCTATCACTCAGGAGGCAGGGCCTCCAGCCCGTGAGTTACTTAAGGCAATAGAACATCAGAGAATAAAATTAGTTCATTAGTTTGGTAAAATTCATTACCAAACAAATATAATTAAAACGAATTTTTATAAGCTTGAGAAATACATTGTGTGCTTTGGTCGGCATTTTTTGCATTATTCAGACATTGATACTATTCCACCATTTCACTAAATGATTCAATAACATGAACCGCATAAGCTATAGCGGTATATCACAAATAATTCTGTGTAGAAAGGTACTCCTAAAAGTATGCGCATCAAGATGTCGCACAACCTAAACCATAACCTGGTACACAATCTGAGTTCAGGTTGTGCGCCATCTTGGTGCGCATACTTCAGGAGGTACTATTTTTCAGTAAATTCGGTGAATTTATAAGTCCTATTTCAGCAAATGTTGCCCCTCAATGGTTCCGCTTTGAAGAACATCAAGAACGATGACTCAATATTGACAAACAAGTAAGCACATTTTGTCCTGATATCATTCCAGTGTTTCACAAATTGTTAATTTTAAAAAGCGCAATTGCCTTATCGCGAATTGAACGAAGGCAATTATAAAAGACTGTCGCGATTAATTTTCTCTGATTACTGATTGATGAGGGAATCAACTTACCTACCTATTTTTTATTTCAGATAAAGATCGATCGTTAATATATTATATATATCAATATTTCTATATTATTCTATAAACTAGAAGTTAAAATAATATTATACATGGTTTAAAAAGTTTGAAAAGATTTATAATTGTTTGATGTTTGATGTTAATAAACAGCAATTGCTACAAACATAAATAACACATATGGTATTTTATTCAATACTTTTGTTATCCTGTTTTGTTAAGTTAATGTATAATCTGAATTGGTAGGAAAAGATTGAGGGCATTCCCACGGTAATCAGAAGATGCTGGTGAAATGGTATGCATAGCAATAAAATATAAAGGAAAGGTAGTAATGAAAAAATGGCCGGGTTTTATAAAGGCTCACAGGCGCACTTGTATATCATATTCCTCGGACGATACAGTCATAACTGATGTTGTTTCAAAAACATTGATTGATACAGCAGCTAGATAATCACAAATTAAAGTGCAACAATTTTAATATTTGTTAGTTCAAAGAGACACAATGAGTCAGGCTGTGGTAACTCGAAGGCCCGATAACCGGAGAATAAGATATTTTGAAATACAACGAAGTAATTAGCAACAATGAAGAATCATTTTTTGGATCTTCATATGATTTAGCCTGGATTGGAGGATCTGACTTGACCAATGACCAAACCTGACTTAACGCGGGAGAGAATTTTCATATGGTATAGCCCTCAGAATCTTCATATGATACGTTGGGTGGATCTTCATATTATCCCATTTTCCCAAACAAAATAGGTTTCTAGGTAATAAAAAGATTTATATTTGTGCTTCATATTTCTTTACAACGACATTAAAAGCCAAGCAGTGACTTTTTTGGATTTACGAACTACGAACCACCATATGCCCACACACATTCAGCTTAACTCCAGCTTAGCGTTATATCTTTAATTAGTACCAGCCATTTTGTGGATAACAGAAAAGAGGATCATCTGATAGACTTCTTGTACGAAAATGAGATTCGCTTGCAAGCAGATTTATCTTGTCATACGCCTGGGTTGTCCAGTTTTGATCCTTGCTTACGTTTGGAAAAGTTTTAATTTTACCGCACTCGTTTATTTGGTTCTAGGCAAATTCGCCGTAGGAAATCTCGCCGCAGGGAATTTCGCCGCAAAGAAAAAATTGCTGCAAGAGTATTTTGCTGTAAAAACAAAATAGCACAAATAACGTGCACAGCTACATAAGTTATTTTAATTTTTGTTATTTTATTTATACTCTAGATTAGAACAGTGGTTCCCAAACTTTTTGTAGCACCGCCCCACTAACAACTCCATCGCCCCCCGGCACTGCAAAAAAAATTTGAAGTCTGAAACGAATATATTACAGACCAAATAAGGAAACAAATCATAGTTTATAGCGTTTTTAATGAGATGAATAAGCTTGGTGTTGTCCAGCGAGTTTTTTATTATATCTAAAATTACCCAGCTTACTGATGGGAAGGCGATTTAGTTGTTTTGATAGCAATAGCAGCACGGCTAAAACCCCTCTTTCGCCATATCAGAGGTCGGAAATGAAAGAATCCAGGGTTCTACCTTCTCAAAAACCGCCGTGTACTCTTGCATTTAACTCTTTAAATTGACCCCATTCCGAATATTACGATTCCAAATATTACGTTGCTCGCGGGACAAAATTTAGGGTTGCTATTCTTTTGCAGATCCCATATATTTTTTGGAAGGTAAAAACGGAACATCGTGCGAAAACTGCGACAATTCGTGAACTCAACTCAGTTGTCTTATTAAAAAATTATTACAATGACATTCAATGTGACACTGTCTTGTTGCTGCATCACGCTTGATAGCTTTACGACGCCAAGATTGAAAGATTTTCGGAATGGGCATCACTAATCCTAGTTCTTTGCTTGTTCTTTGTAATGTTCATTTTAAAAAATAATTGTTTGCACAAATATGTTCTTCCAAACATCGAAGTGAATATTTTTGCATGGTTTGTGAAATTTTGATAACGATTTTCTTTAAGAAGCTACATTCTTACAAAAAATAGAGCGGTGATGAATCTTTCGAATAGAATATGAATTTGATTACCTTATTGCATTGCAATAACATCAACTTTTCCGCGTGTTTCCATTTGTCTAAATATAATTAAATTGTAGGCTTTTTGAGCTAGTAGCTGTTCAATATAATTTTTAGGATATAATAAAAATTAGTATAAACGTGTCTCACGATAAATTATGTTACGTAAAAAAATGTAATTTACTCTTCGAGCGTAGATAATAAATAAAATTAATTCATCGTTAAAACCGCCGTTTTTTGGATGTTTCCCCTGGCAAAGACTTCCTTGTTTGCTTCGTGACATTGGCCAATCAGCAAGATGCAGAAATAAACGTAACAATGCCCCCTTTCGCATCCAATCAGACACATTCCCCACTCAGATGAACTTTCAGGCGTGGTCGTGAACATTACCTCATTTTCGCGATTTTGAATTATATTCGTCAGTTTTGAGTTGTTTTTCGAAAATTTAAATAAAATGAGTAAATGATCACCTTGTCCTCCTAGGAGTTTCAGTTTAATTACAGTGATCAAAAATTAGTGTAGAAATAGCTGTGATAGACTAGGCTAAAATTCTTTACCGGTACTTTTAAAAAACAGATTGTTGAATGGCATGAACTAGAATGATAGTTTGAAACAAATGCTTCATTTTATAGGCAACACCTCGCAAAACCACTCTTAATAAACACCGACAATTTTAGAATGGTAAAGTATGGGAATAATTTTCCGGAGTCAAAGGTCAGTCGCCCACTTTGGGAATCACTGCTCTCACTGCTCCATATCCTATTTATTTCAGCTATAAAACATTACAAGAGCATTGACATTCTTCTAATAGTTTGTCGCAAAACTGTATTTTTATAATATAAACTCAACCATAATTTGAATTATATAAATATTCTTTTATAAGAACACTCCATGAAAATCGTCAAAGCTTACTTCGGCTTAAGCTTTTTAGCTTAAACAGAAAAAATCAAATCGAAAAAACTACCTTCCGAATTCGAACGCCAGCTCACTACTGATTGTCAGAATTTCAGATAAATTACCTAGAATATTGCATTAATATAATAGAGTATAAGACACATAGTTTAATCCGGAGAATATGTATAGTTGATATAGAATGACTCCGCAGATAGAATGAAATAATTAACACATAGGTAAAGTAGAAGTTTTGACGATTTCAACAAATGATAAGTAAATCGAGTATTTCAATAGTTGGTAAATTTTTCGTTGGGAACATTTTTTAGTGAAACTTCCTGAGAAAAGCAAGCCAGTTATATATATAAGTTTAGTGTGCGCTGGAGAATGTGGCAGCCAAAAAAGACATCCTTACTTTAGACCAGTACAAATTTGACCGTTTATATTACATCTCATGAACATATTGGCATGCGGCTGAATGCTAGGAGTGTTTTGTGACTTTGAATGTGTGCTTCAATGTGAAATCGAACATCGGGTTAAACTCCATGATATGAATCGACATTGGCCATGAATGAAAACTATTTTCGATCTTTTGCAATCATAGGTAGCGTTTATCTCATTTTAATCAAATTCTTGATTTTGAAGTACATTTGGCCCAAACACTCGGAAGCGAAAAACGTCAATATAAAGCAGGGAATCGAGTGAAAGCGTGATCAAGAATAAACGTTCTATAGAGGAATTTTTTTCCCATAAACTATGAAAATTTAAATGAAAGATACCATTTCTATATTGAATTTTTTTCAAAATATAATATCAGATACAAAAGCTCCTTTATTAGTTATTGATAATCGTGAATTATTGACCCATTCGTAATGGTTGAAATGTTGCGACATTCACATTAGTACTATAATATCATATTGTAATTGAATTACCGTAAAATGTTGGTATTGTGCTATACATTTACGCTATATGCTATACGCAAGATATTGGATGCATTCCCGTCATTCAGATGAGAACCTCTTGCCGAAAGCTTTGAATACGACAAGTTTCGCATAGTAGTATTTGGAAGTGAGTCACCTTTGGTGTTCTGTCTTTTTAGTCCTGAGTCCTAATTGATACAGAAGTCATAAATTAACTTCAGATACAAGATTTCTGAACCTCTGAAAAATAATACTTTCTAAAAAACGTAGCGCATATATATAGAGAGAGAATAACACGAAAGAATATTCCAACTCAATTATTTGCTGGAAATTTTCGGCATAAACCTTACATTTAGCTACACATCAATTTTAGTGAATAACAGACTCGATGGAAAAGTTATCGGCCCAGAATGCGGTTACGTTTGTAACTAACTTTCCAGAGCTAGGCTTAAACAGCCACGTGCCTTTCAGGCTTAAACAACAGCAGATGATACTTCGATTACCATTTCAGACTTCAAACAGTAATTAACGCTTCATCCTAGTTATTTTATAGGTTTTCGGGAACTGCAGTCCCAAACTTGGAGCAAATTTAAGTTTGTATCCATTTATATTGAAAAATAAATAAAATGCTCGTATGTAAAAAAAGAAGAAACTCAACTCAAATAGTGTTTGAAGTTGAATGAAAAATCAGAATGTTTTCTACTAAACAATGTATTAAAGTTAATGGACGAGTTCCGTCGTTTCGGCGGCATACTTTGTGAAAATATTCATAATGCCTTAACTATTATACTGATGTGTTAGTCAGGTTAACAAAACATCGAGAATGATTTAAGTGACACTTCGGCCAGACTTCCAATTTTTGTTTAGATGCTAGTTTTGATTGTATGAATAATCGTGACTGTCAGAATCGTATGCCGAGGAAAAAATAAGTTGAAGGTTTTGCATTAAATACTTTTCAATCACATGAACTTCGTGATTTTATAATGTGGCATTAAAATTTATACATGATGTCGGTTGTTATTGAACTTTTGGTTTCAGGTGGTTTATGAACTTTGTGTTTGCTGCCTGCCCACTGATAACAAACTTACTTTTTATCAAGCATCCATTGTTTTAAGTACAGTAATACCTCAACGTATACCTCAACGTGGTAGTGTTACAAAACCAATGTGAAAATCCGTTTTAATAAATTAAATCAATTGTTCATCCAGGACTGAATATTATCGGTTAAACCAAAGGATTGTAATCTTATTTAAAAAACGAGGGCACGCGAGTTTTTGTAAAAATAAAACAATAGTTTTAAACAACAATTCAATACGTCAACTATGTT